AAATTACAGACTGTTTGGAAATAAACAATAATAAATAAACTATATATGGGATGTTGTCTAGGGAATACACAGAGAATAACAATTAGCCTTACATGTATTTATTAGAAAGCAAGAGAGATACAAAATAAATAAGGTCACAGGCCTATAAATCAAAATGTCAAAACAAGGGTAATGAAATGACCTCCCAAAAAAAGTAGAAGAAAAAAAACAAAAGATAGCCCAGCCAGTGTTGCTCAGTGGTTGAGCACTGACCTAGGGACCAGGAGGTCACGGTTCCATTCCGGGTCTGGGCACAGGCCCAGGTTGTGGGCTATATCCCCAGTGTGGGGGGCATACAGGAGGCAGCCAATCAATGATTCTCTGTCATCATTGATGTTTCTATCTCTCTCTCCTCCTCCCTTCCTCTCTGAAATCAATAAAAACATATATATATATTTTTTGCCCTAACCGGTTTGGCTCAGTGGATAGAGTGTCGGCCTGCGGACTGAAGGGTCCCAGGTTCGATTCCGGTCAAGGGCATGTACCTTGGTTGCGGGCACATCCCCAGTAGGGGGTGTGCAGAAAGCAGCTATCCGTGTTTCTCTCTCATCGATGTTTCTAACTCACTGTCCCTCTCCCTTCCTCTCTGTAAAAAATCAATAAAATATATCTAAAAAAATATATATATTTTCAAATGTCCAGTGGCTTGGTTGTGCCAGTGGCCCCTCGTGATATTGAAAGCACGCATTGCCCACCTTTTTGCCTTATTTAGAAACTGTAAATACTTTTTCTCAAAGTGGCTTCACCCTAGCGGAACAAACAGGTACTATTTGTTAGCCAAAGGCGCCAGGAGAGGCGGTGGCTGACCCAGGGCAGCCCGCCCTGTGCTGGGGGAGGTTTGGTGCCTTTGGGTGTAAAACACTGTCTTTCAGAAACGACCTAATCATTTTTTCCCGTTACAACCTCTTTATGTAACTCAGTCTCCGGCAAATTCTGAGCTTGGGCTGGCTCTTTGAAAAAGCACCATCAAGGTGCACCCACCAAAGCCATCCACTCCCCGCTCCAACTGGACAGGGCTCCCATGGGCGCTGCGCCCCTGGCCTGCATTCAGCTGGTGGCGCCTTATTCCACAGGGCGGAAGGCACGAGCCCGGGTTCCCTGTCCCAGCCACTTGTAAGTTAAGAGAGGATGCGAAGGAATTCCTGTGAGGTGGGAAGTGCCTGTTGACCTTGGAGAGCTCGTGCTGGTTGGGCAGTGGAAGGGTGCCTGCAGCTTTCTCTGCCCCTTACGTTCCTCGGGACCCAGAGAGAAGTCAGTGGGCTTCCCTCTCTCTCAATGTGTGTGTGCGTTCACTCCCGTGTGACAAAGGCACAACGGTGGGTGCCATGCCAGCTGACAGCACAGGGCTGTCGGTCTGACTTCCTTGGAGAACAAAGGAAGGTGTGGAAAGAGGAAGGTTCAGGGGCCCACACTTTGGTGCGGGGAAAGGTTGAGAAATTAGCAAATCAGTTCCTTCTGCTCCTGAGCCGTGCAGAACAACCACCATCTCCCTTCCTGGCGGCTCCTCCTCTTTTATGTGTCAACCCACGGCTGCCGGCTTTCTCCGTGAGGAGGAATTTCTGCTGGTGCCTGTGAGAATGCGCCAAGGGCCCAGCAGACTGGGTTCCTAACTCCAGGGGCCAGCATTGTAGATGGAAAGAACAGCACAGTCACAGAAAGACAGCTGCCGACGTGTCCCATGAGACGTTTATCCAAGTTCCCACTATATCGTGCAAATGGAGAGAAGGAAGAGGGGTCCGCACAGAGGAGCTGGAGTTCACCCATGACATGGGGAGAGGAATGTTGGGCAGGACCTTGGGGAAAGAGCATGGATTGGCGGAGAGAAGAGCTGGGGAAGGTGCCACAGGCCAAAGCATGAGGGTGGAAGTGCCAGCTGCATGTGCTTGTCTGGTGACAATTTGGAGCCAAGAATAAAAAGAGAGAAGGTGGGAAAAGCTAGGATGAGCCCCGAGAGGTGGGGATGGAGGCGACAAAATCCCTGGATGGGTCTGAAGATGAGGAAAGACATTTTATTTTCAAACTCAGGAGCAGAGGTGGCTCTCCATTCTTCCAAGCCCACCTCCGTACTCACAAGTGTTTTTCTTTTTAATATATTTTTTATTGATTTCAGAGAGGAAGGGACAGGGAGAAAGGAAGGGACAGGGAGAGAGGAAGGGACAGGGAGAGAGGAAGGGATGGGGAGAGATAGATACATCAATGGTAAGAGAGAATCCTTGATCGGCTGCCTCCTGCACGCCCCGCAATGGGGATCCAGCCCGCAACCCACACGTGTGCCCTGACTGGGAATCGAACCGTGACCTCCTGGTTCATAGGTCGGCGCTCAACCACTGAGCCACGCCAGCCAGGCTCTGTGCTCACAAGTTTATCTTCAGCTGCTCTAACTGCCCATTCTTTTGCCACCTTTCCTTGGCAGAAGAGAAAGACTGAGCTCTGGACGGTATAGTTCAGGTGGTTGGAGACTCGTCCCATGCACCAGCAGGTCATGGGTTCGATTCCAGGTCAGGGTACATACCTAGGTTGTGGGTTCGATCCCTGGTCAGAGCGTGTACAAAAGGCAACCAATTGATGTGTCTCTCTCACATTGATGTTTCTCTCTCTCCCCATCTCTCTAAAAAAATCAATAAGCATATCCTCACGTGAGGATTAAAAATAGATAGATAGATAGATAGATAGATAGATAGATAGATAGATAGATACTAGTAGATAGATAGATGATAGATAAATAGATAGATAAATGATAGATAGATAGATGATAGATAGATGATAGATAAATGATAGATAGATAGATAGATAGATAGATAGATAGATAGATGATAGATA